GGTCCCCAGTGGACAGGCTAGTTGGAGGAGACACTGAGAGTCTCTGATTCTGGAGACGTTTCCCATACCCTGTCCTAGGGTCCTGGTGGAGATTGGTTCTCCTCCCCAGCAGAGGTGAAGAAGCATTTGCAGTTGCCCGGGTAGCAGGCACTTTTCTAAAGTCACAGACAGAAGGTGTCACCAGCCTCAGGGGTCCTCCATGGAGGTCTTCTCCCAGCCTTCCCCACCCAAGAGTCCCTAGACCAGCTTTTTCTGGCTGTCCCTGAGTGGCTGTCGCTCCCACTCATATTCCTGCCCCAGTGCCAACATCCATTGTCATCCTGATGTGGACTTGCCCCTGATCCCTGGCCAGGCTTCAAGGGAGAGGAAGGGAGAAGCTTGGATGTGCTCATCTCTTCTTGCCACCTTCTGGAGGCAGCAGAGGCCTGGTGGGATCGAGTCACCCTGGTGGGGCCTTTACTTGAAACCTCCCCCCTCCTCATTTGGTCTGGCTTGACTTATACAGGAGCTAAGGCGTAGGGCCTCATTAGGCAAGTGAGGCCTAGTAAGATGCACCAGTCCCCTTCCCAGCCTGGTGACCAGGCTTCTGGATGGGCACAGAGATTTGCACCCAGGCTCTGGATTCAGGTCCAGCCCTAAGAACCAGAGGCCAGAATCCAACTCCCAATAACAGTACCACTAGCTGCTCCCCCACTCCCACCACCACCGCCACCATCCAGAGAGACTGAGGCAGGGACAGAGGACTCCAAGCAGGTGGCAGAGTCCAGCAGGCCAGCTCAGAGCTCTCAGGAAAGGCCCTCTCAGCTCTGCCTGGGGTCACACATCCACAGAGTTCTTAACAGCTGCAGTACCACTGGGGGAAGCCAGGATTGGATCCTTAGGGACACCCAGCTTTGGGGACAAAGGACAACAGTTTGGGTCAAATGCAGGTTGGGTTCTGGGTTCAATCTGGAGTTGGGATTGGGGGGTTCAGCGTGGAACTTGGATAAATGGCTGGCCTCAGCGGGGGGCCCCTGCTCTGGGAGCCTTGGGCAAGAGGCAGGCTGTGGACCGGCTAATGGCGCTCCCCGTCTGTTCCCAGGGTGGCCACGCGGCCAGGTTGCAGCAGGAGTGTGACTATCTGAGGATGATCGAGGTACAGCACAAGCAGTGCCTGGAGGAGGCCAGGCTGGAGAACGAGACCACAGGTGAGGCCTCCTGAGAAGGGTGGGGCTGCAGACGCCCCTGGAGCCCAGGTCCAGGTCACGTTCCTTCCCCATGTGCTGGCTGGGGACCATGGGCAGCACTGCCGAGCTGCTGGTTGGTGAGGAGAGGCTGGGAGAGCCAGATGGAAGAAGGGAGAGGCTGACAGGCCCCCATGTTCCCCTCATCCCCTCCCAGGTCTGGGGAGCACCCACTATCACTGAAGAGTGCTTACGGCACATGGTGTCAACTCTTCCTTTACAGTTCCTTCTCTCCTCCGGAAAAAGTAGAGGTGATGTCCCCAGCTACCAGCCCACCTAGATGCTGTATGATAGGGCCCAGTGGACAATGAGGGCAGACAGGTCCCAGGACCTGGCCCAGCCCAAGGAGGAGTTGGGGCGGCAGCCTGATAGGGTCACTCCCAGGTGCTGGGGATGGGGAAAACTGACCCCAGAACAGCACGCTCCAGGATTAGAACACGGTACAGGGTTAGCATCTTAGAGGGTGAGTAGAGGACACGGGGTCACAGTGACATGAGCTCACAGTGTGTGACCCCCGACCCCCCCCACACACAGGGACCACATGGAAGCTTGGAGTCTGGAGCAGGATGGGCATCAGGCTAGTTCAGACAGATCTAGAACCATCAGCCTGGGGAGGGGGTGAGGAACCAAGGTCCAGCTCCTTCCTCACAACGAAGGCTCTGCCACCAGGACACCCAGAAGAAGCGATAGTGCCACCGCCCACACACGGCCCCTAACCACAAACAGGAGCACTGGGCTGGCGTCACCATTCCAGCCCACCCTCAGCAAGCCAGATGGGCTGTCAGCTCCTTATCTTGATTGGACAAGTCAAGGTCAGCCCCAGAGACCGAGCACATTGGGATGCCGACTCTTCCTCCTTAGCTCAAGGGCCTGGGAAAGCCCCCGGCAGTGTGCAGGGTGGGACCTAGCTGCCCAGCCCAGTGCCCAGCCAGGATCGACAACAGCACCCTCCACTTGGCTCAGTAGCTGGGGGTTGAGCCAGACTTGAGAAAACAGGCAGGTTTGGAGAAGCAGAGAGGCTAGGAAGTGGGGGGGCACGGGGACAGACCGCCCCTGGGAGGTGGGCGTCAGGCTCAAGGCTTGTGGAGGGGGAGTGAGGGCCGGCCCCAGAGCTGGAGGCAGTGAGGAGGCTGACTGCTCTGGGCCTCCATCCCAGGCCTCCCCCAGGCTGGGTCTCCTATTACGTAACAGCCTTGCGCAGCACAGGGGGCACCTTTAGTCTCCCTGCTCCCGTGCCCTGCCTGAGTCCTCTTATGTAACCCCACTGTGTTCCCCCACGCGGCCTGGACCCAGACTTTCTGTCTCCTGCATGGAGTCTCAAAGAGGGGTGGCCCCTGGGGCCAACAAGAGGTGCAGAGCTTAAGATGCCTGGATCCCACGTGGCTGACTGCATGATTCAAGTCCCAGACCCGGAGGCTTGAAAAGCAAGCCAGACACATGTGTGTCCATGTATGCATATCCAGTCCCAAAAGGAGAAAGGAAGAGAAGGGATTCTCACTTTCTCTCTCTCTCTCTCTCTCTCTCTCTCTCTCTCTCTCTCTCTCTCTC